TATTTAAAACTTAAGATTTTATAGATTTCTTAAAAATACATGATTTTTGATGAGAAGTGACTTGGAGCACCATAGTTAATAATAAAACAATATATTAATTATTTATAATAGTTAATAATTTTGGTAATTGTTAAAAATTGTTATGCAAGCATTTTAATTACTGCATATGTATGTAATTGTTTGGGTCAAATCTTGACAAACAATCCTGAAACCAAATTCCCGGCAAAAATTAATTAGAATTCAGCTAACTTAATGCGTGCGAACTTGTTAGGATTTTGGTTACCTAATGAATGTGCTTTGGTTGTCGTTTATTAACACGAAAATTAAATTCTAATAATGTTTACCTTATTACTACGTAAAAAGTTGATAAAACAATTATTAATTATATAGTTAATAATAATTACTGCATATGCATGTAATTGTTTGGGTCAAATCCTGACAACCAAATTCCCGGCAAAAATTAATTAGAATTCAGCTAACACTAATTTAATGCGTGCGAAATTGTTAGGATTTTGGTTAATGAGCGTGCTATGGTTATCGTTTATTAATACGAAAATTAAATTCTAATAATGTTTACCTTATTACTAAAAAGTTGAAATATAAATAAGTGCATCCATATATAATTAATAAAATTTTGTCACTTCGCAAACAAGAAAAAAAAAAAAAACTCGTCTTCTGAAACCGTAATTTTAATGTTCTCTCATTTTAATAAAATACCATTTAGTACATGGTATAAGGACGGTATAAGGACGTACCCGAGCACTACTTAAAAAAAAAATGTATGGAAATATTGGCATATTTTTCGCCTGCGCGGTACTACGTAATACTAAATAGCTGAGCCACACATTATTATGTGGTTTTTAATTATTAATAATGCGGAAGGTTCCATCACTAGTCTAAGGCCACACAAAGTTAATTTTTCGTTTTGTTTAACATGGAATCAGAAAATTGGGTTGGCAGTCAAATTTTTTTCTCTCAGTTCTATCGGATAATTTCGGGAAATAAGGTCTCTATCGGGATACCGGATTTATTGGAAAAAATTAATGACAAAAATAGAATAATTGGCACAATTGGGACTTTAAAAAAAAAAAATAAATAAATAATTGAAAACATGGGTCGGCGGGTAATGCAAAAACACCATAGGTGCGTTTTAGTAAAAGTCAATAAATATGTGAATTTTAATAAGGTTTATATTTTCAAATTGAGACCCAAACTTCAGCATTAACATCAGCCGTGATGATAAGAAAAAATGAAATGTATTTTTTGAATCGATTGTTTTTTAATTATTCTAAAAATAAATATCTAAGTCTCATAAAATTCCTTAATCACATCTAGGGATGGAAATTATACGGTATAATAAATTTTGGTATAAATACCAGGTTATTTTACCGTATAATTACCTTATATATAATACCTAGAAAGTACATATAGATTTGTCACGTGCTCACTAATTGCTATGAAAAATTTCATCTTGATTTCTATTGGCTAACTTTGTTACACTAAAATATTATACCAGTTATACGGTATTTTATTAATTATACTACCAATTATACGGTTATTATACCATTTTTATTATACGGTATCGTATAATTGCCCATCCCTAGTCACATCCTACGGCATCTATAATAATGATAACGAATACGCCGACCATATTCATTTGGACAGGTTTCTCCGTATATTAGAAGATCAACCATTGTAGAAATCATGAAAAGGTGATAATAATTACAGAACAAATTGTTATCCCATATTTTATTCAACCTTAATTAAAACAGTTCCGGCATCCACAACATCACCCTCTTTGACCAAGATCTTTACAATTCCATCATGCCTAGAGTATATTCTTGTTTCAATTTTCATGGACTCTATAGTTAATATAGCTTCATCTTTACTAACTTTTGAATTTTGTGGAACTAAAAGTTTTAAAATTTTGCACGGCATTGGCGCTGTGTATGATGACACTATATATAAATTTAAATAAATTAGCACTCATGCTTTTAAAATGGTTTAAGAATTAATCTTAAATAAGCCATACCATCATCTTCAACATTCTCATTATAAAACTTTTTTTTGTTCCTCAAAAATTTGATTTGTCTTCCCAATTCCTTACAATGAACATATACTTCTTGTGTACGTAAGTTTTGCGACCCAGAAGCTATGTCAAATATTCTCTGTATACCATCTATAATCAATTATAGTTCGTTAATTGGTATAAATGTGTAATTTTTGAATATATATTGTAACGGATTATCGTGAAATCGGATTATCGTGAAATTTGGATCTATTTTATGTACGATTTTTAAAATTTTTTAGGGCCTT